AAAAAAAAAACATGCACCAATAAAAACAAATTCTGACTTCCGATAGTAAAAAAATATAACAAACGATTATTTACAGACAGATAACAGTCAATAATTTTCTACTGTACATTCCTGTCTATAAGTCAGTTCTAAATGAAATGTTTACGATTACAGAATTAAATTATTATTACTATTATTATTACAATAATAAATTCAAAAAACTGTAGGCCACAGATCCACAAATAAACCCGAAAATGAGATACGCAAAAAATTATAATAACAAATATACAGTGTCAACTGTTCTCCAAATCATTCACTAGGTTTAGATCTTTTCTTCATCCCTTTTTTGTGATGAACGTCTCGACCACCTGATACGCCACCTTTCAAGCAACCACTAGATGAATCATCGTGTGAATTCAGATGTTGAGTAAGGGAAGCATTCCTCAACGTTGCCGGTGACGTTACTGAAGAATTCGAAAAAACTCTCTCAGCATCTCGTAAATTTTTCCGAACCCCACGTTTTTCCAACTTCAAACTGTTTTTGGATGGAGGAGCTGTTGAAGCAAAACGATCCCAACCTGCATTTCAGATATGAGAGTATATTCTTAGTAGATGTCTACCAAACAAACACTGCATCCACAAAGTTTTAAAAACAGAATTTGAGAATTTTCAAATCGCTTGATTTTTCCAGTTTAAAAATTAAAAAACAAAATCAGTTATCATCTTCAAATGAGCATGAACCAACCTCAAAAAACTGCTTGAAAAACTTGATAGGGCTTCACCACAACTTATACTTACCAGTTTGAATGATTTAAACAAAATGAGAATTTGATTCAAAAAAGTGATTTCGGCTTCTGTTTCAAAAAAACTTTCTACGAACAAAAACAAGTAAAACCTAATAGGAAAAAAAATTAGGTTGCAATCGACTATTCACAACTCCAATGCCGCATTACGCATGTATAAAAACAAAAAAATCGCGTAAAATTTGCTTCGTTTGAGAAATTTAAGCAACACTTTTTCAGTAAAGCTAACGGACTAGATAATAACTTCCAAAACATTAACTTTGTCAAACGTTTGCCTACCACTATGCTGAAAACCTGTTCTAAACAAAGTTACTAAATTTATGTATCTATTACAGAAACGCTAGTAGCATATAATGGCTCTCAAGTACTACTTCCCAACAATGCCAAAAACAATATCCCTTCTCGCTTATCTCTCAGAGAAACAAACAAAAGTTTCAATTTATTGAAAGATAAAAAATAAGTTCTGTCTTATAAAAACATTCTTCATCCTGACAAGTAATACCCTGTTGTTGCTTTTGCACCACCCTTTGAACCCCACCTCGTCACCAGTAAGAAAAAAGAAAATTTATAAAATGTGAACTACAAGTTCGAAAATAAAAAACAGAAGGAAGTGTCTACAATTTTTTTCTGTGCCTTCTTTAACTCCAGAAAGAATATCTACATAACCCCTCAAAACTTCTTTTTGGAAGGCAATTTTCATCATTTTGACAGTCCCTTAGACAATTTGTTTTGAATACTACCGCATATACTCATAAAAACCAGAAATAAAACTGATCAAGCAAGATTACAAATGTTTGCCCCACTGTGAAGACTGCGACAAAAGGAAACAGAAAAAAAGCTACTCTCAAGAACCTGGCTGTTATAAAAACTTTCACTTGGAGAAGCATTGTCTAAAATAATTTCTTTTAAAGATCCATTTCCGTTTTAAGAAATGTACATGCCCTCAATGCCTTGTTGAGAAAATCACTTGAATATAAAAAAGATTCTTATCTCGCTGTCTTCAAAAGTCGATTTCAGTTCTTTTACACAAATACAAGATCCAGTTCCTGCAAGCAACTGTTTGAAATATTTATTTTTCACCTAAAGGTGTACGTTTTTTATGCAGCTTCCTAGCCTGCCTCCTATAACAATTTCCTAAACTTTCGAAAATTTTACCCTTTCTTCAAGACCTTTGACAGGAAACAACTTCATAACTCTTCTTATGTCTCCAGTTTTTTTTTTGGAAACCTTACATGACGAAAAACGACTTGTTCAAGAGAAGAGAATAAACAGCTGGTCAAAAATCTAAACCACCAACATAAAAACTAAAACATTTGAGATTTGCGACACAAGATTTATCAGTTTGAGCTAGAACACGTCGGTTTCTCAATGTTTCAGGAATAAAAACCCCATTTTGCGGGCCTTAGAAATTTACGGAAGACAGGCATTATAAGTAAGGAAAAAAACGGGAAACAAATGAAGACGACTGTTGTGAAAATTCTGAGCTTCTTGAAGAAGTACTGAAAAAAGTGACACAGTTGCGGCCGCGTTGTAACCAAAAATAATTTCGATGTTGCTGAATTTCTTTTATGCCAAAATATGCAGAAATAAACTCGCACATGCAGCACCGAAACTTTTATATTTGAAGGCGAACACAAGATATACCTGATAAAGAGAAAAAAAAAAAAAAACAGAAACATATGGAAACGATGTAAGAAAAATCCCAAAAATACTTAAGTGCAACCCACTGCCGATTCAACTAATAATGTTCCCCCATTATCTGCAAAACTACTTGCCAGTTTTACAAACCCGACTAACAAGCGCATTTTTCCAGTTTCAATACGAACTCATATTGGGATTTTGCCAACTGGAAGAGCTAACGGCTAACTTCGGCGCCGAAAATCGTTCATCAGTACGACTAAGACGAATGTGATAGCAGCCCAA